GCAAATGTCCAGGTTTCTGCAAGGAGCATCAATCCTTTCCTTCCCCACCATCCAGTCAGAGCTGAAGAAGCTCCTTGGATGAGAAGCAAAATGTCTTCAAAAGGAAAAACAAGACAGTCCAGTTGCCTCCTGAAAAAAAATCACCTTTGAGACAGCCATGACCTGGAGGACTGAGAATCTCTACAGACTTCTAGGTATACAATTTGGGATGAAGACCCTTTGAATGGAGTGGGAGGAGGAATGGATTTCCAGAGGAAAAACAACTGCAGACTACAGGAACCATTTGCATCACTCAGGTGACCCTGAGGACACAGGTGAACCTCCAAGTGGCCTCAAGGACCCTCTGAAAGGCTGCAAATGTCCAGCTTTCTGCAAGGAGTATCAATCCTTTCCTTCCCCACCATCCAGTCAGAGCTGAAGAAGCTCCTTGGATGAGAAGCAAAATGTCTTCAAAAGGAAAAACAAGACAGTCCAGTTGCCTCCTTAAAAAGCACCTTGGGGACAACCGTGACCTGGAGGGCTGAGAATCTCTACAGACATCCAATTCGTACCTTACAAACAATCTCGAGGCCGCAAGAATTGTCTCCGTGGCTCTGCACGCCAATCTTTTCCACTCTGCTTATTACTCCAAGGGGAACGTCAAGGACAAAATGTGGATCCTGAAATTTGAATGAAAAAACAAACAAACATTTCTTTGTTTTTTTAAAATACACCCATGAGTAAATATTTATCACCTGGGACAAGATAAAATAATTGTTGTAGGATACGTTAGCTCACCGTGGGCCTTTGTGCTTAGTTTATACCTACATAAATTTCTCGTTGCAAAAAGTGGGAGGGGAACGGAGTTTCTCAAACATGGCAACTTAATGTGGCAGTTGACGTTAAGGCATCTTGAAATAGCCAAGTTGTAGCCATACTGCTCTAGAAAAAAGCCATCATAGTTCTAGGCTGCATCAACAGAGGGAGAGAATCAAGATCACGTGAAGGATTAATACCACTTGATAAAGCCCTGGGAAGGCCACACTTGGAACACGGCATCCAGTTTTGGTTGCCACGATGTAAAAAAGATGTTGAGACTCTGGAGGCTAAAACATATGAAGAACGGTTGCAGGAACTGGGGATGTCTAGTTTGATGAAAATAAGGACCAGGAGAGACATGATCGCAGTCTTCCAATATCTCAGGGGCTGCCCCAAAGAAGAGGGAGTCAAACTATTCTCCAAAGCCCCTGAGGGCAGGACAAGAAGCAATGGGTGGAAAGTAATCAAGGAGAGAAGCAACTTAGAAATTTCCTGGCAGTTAGAACAATTAACCATTAGAACAACTTGCCTCCAGAAGCTGGGAATGCTCCAACACTGGAAGTTTTAAAGAAGATGTTGGATAAC